AAGCACAATGCAGAAACTGCCAGGCCTTCATATGTGGGTTCAGAAAGCACAGAAGTAAATATCAGATGGTTTCCTTATTTGTGCAATATAGAAAACCTGAATAAAGGGTCAAGAAAAAGACAAAACTTCCAAGCTGACCATAGATCCGAGACACAGGGCAAGGGAGGGGGAGAAAGAGGGGTCAAAATGGGGGAGAGAAGAGCACAAGGGGCTGTGGGGATAGACTGGGGTGCTATGGTTTTGGGAGAACTGTGGGATGATACTAGAGGGAGAAACTAATTATTGTACAAAAATAAACGATGATATAAAGACAATAAACAAATATGTGTAATAGAGAAAGGAAGAAAGAAAAGAAAGAGAAAGAGAAAAAAGAGAAAGAAAGAGCAAGCAGGCATTGTAGGTCATTCCACGGGGTTCTAGTCATCAAATCAGTCCCAGGGCCAGCCCAATTGCAAAGGGGAATAGACTGCAGCCCTGTCTGGGGAGGATCAAGGTCCTTTGCCAAGAACACGGACTAGGAAGATACAGTCGGCCTCACCCAGCCTGCAGGGCAGGAGGTGGGGAATAGTGCCCTGAGGCCATTCCTGTGGAGAAGTGCAGCTCTCCTCTGGCTAAGAAGGGCAATTCTGAGGAGTATCTGATAGGTTCTTCTGGGGTTCCTCAGCAGGATTAACCCAATTACCCACTATTGCATAACTAACTCAACAATATCCCTTTACTGCCTTTTCCTCTTTCGCCATCTTTATCTGCTCCTCCCTTCCTGCTATTCCCTCTCACCATCTCTGGGAAACCAAGCTAAGATACCAAGTTTCCGCCTTTGAAAAACCCCCCTAATTTGGGCTATAAAACTTTGCACCTGGCTCCTAGCCTGTTGTGCAATCCTAAGGAAATATCTGTGATAAGGTTTTGTAAATGGGGTAAATGAAACTGAGGTGAGGGATCACTGAGAGCTGATGTACTTACTCCCCAAGGAAGCATGAGGATTTGGGGGTACTGGGGGGTGGAGGCCCAGCCCCCCAGTAGTCAGGGATTGGTGGCCAGAAGGGACATTGCCACCTTGCTGATGATGAGTGCTGAGAAGAGAGGCTTGTGGGGACACTCCAGAAGGCAAGGGTCAGATGGACTTCCCGGGGTGGGGAGAAATGAGGTATGATGTGTCTCTGTCCTGTCTTCATGTTCACATGAGCTGGCACAACTGAGTGTCTCGCCAGGTCACTGAAGCCTGAGTCAAAGTCCCTGAAAAGCATCCACCAGGCTGTTGGGACTCACCCCCATGGAACGAGCATTACATCCTGGTCTGGTGTCTGCCCAGGAAGAGAGGGACTGAATGTCCAGCCTGCTGGACAGCTGAGGCCTTGCCACACTGAACACTGTGGGAAGTCACAGTCACTCCCTGCTCCCAGTCAGGGGACAGGGACCCCAGGGGACAAGCAACTAGAATGGCACAGAGAGGTTGTTACAGGGCAGGGAGAGGGCACCACTGAACCCCCAAACCTGCCTGCTTCAAGTGGGTTCTGCCACCCGCTGCATCAAGACAAAACATATAATACTTTAATGAAAAGGGACTTTAATACAGTGAGTATACAATACAGAAGACAAAGAATACAATGTCTAAATCAAACACATAAGTTACCCATCCCCTCGTGGGCAAATGCCCACCCAAAAGGGGTTGGCACAAAGCAAGGTTTGAAAGCTGCCGGGAGGGACCCATCCATGGAAAAGGATCAGAAACGGCCAGACAAATCTGGGAGGAAAAGAGCAACATCAAAATCAATATAAACACTGCCATAGTCACCTCCCTATAGGTCTCTCACCCATGTCTGCCTTAGCCAGTCCAGGGTCAGGAAATAAGCCTGGTTTCTTCATCACATGCTTGCTGCTCCATGTGGCTTCCTCAGGGCTCCTTCTGGCTCTCCATCCAGCTTCCTTCTTCAGATTCTTTTTCTTTTGTTCTTTTCTCTACTCAGCCCCACCCTCCTTCTGGTTTGGGCAGGGAACTTGGAACTTCCCCTTTTCCTGGGGACCACCCTGTTACAAGGTCACCTTGCTAAGGGAAGGGCTTTGGGTACTGAGGAACTTGTGACCTGAATCAGGTTGAGGTGGGGCAGGAACTATTCCCAGACAAGCTGATGTCTACCTTGGTCTTGGTGCTGCCAAATGTGGGTCCACTACCCAACGGCATACAGCTTGCCTAATGCCAGGTCACCTGGCAGGAGACAGCAGGCCAGGCTCTCGGTTTCCCCGAGGACAGGACTTGGGGCCATATTTATGGGGTGGGAGAGTGTAGAAAATACAAGTTGGCAGTCTGATCAGTTGCTTTCTGCAAACCCATAGTGTAGCTTGAATTTGGATCCAGAACCGCAGCAGAGTGAGCACCCCGTGCTTCTTTCTGAATGTTGTCCCCCTAACCAAAAGCCTGGCATCTTAGCTCCGTGTCAGGGCTATTTCTCCAGGCGAGGAGATGTCTCCCCAGTGAGGACTCTCCCGGGCCTGCGCTCTGAAACACAACTTGTCAGCTGATGCGAGATTGGGATTTTTGTTTTCCTTGTTTAAAAATGGGTTGGGGTATTTGTGTCCCAATGTTGCCAGCCTGCCCTGCTGTTTTTATAAGATAAAGGAAAGCAAGAAATGACCATAAAAGTGTCATTAAGGGGTTATGCAAGAGAGAGGAAGAGCCACACCACAATGGAGAAATGGCTCACTTGAGACCTCAGCTTGTGGAGGAGGTGAGATGAGACTGGAGAGAGGGGCTGGCAGCCCTTGAGAGTTAAAAGGGTCCGGTTTGAATTTGGGGTGCACCTCAGCTGCTTGCACTGATGACCATTTGGAAGGGGGTCTGAAATAGACAGGGGAGACCTGTAAAGGGGACTCCTTTATTACTTTACAAACATCCGTGAAGCCCCAACTGGTGCCAGGCGCTGTGCTATTATTGCAGGGTTCCAGGAGAGGCCCCCTAATGGCTTGGATGCTGGCCAGGATGCAGGGAAGGAGCAGAACTTTAGGGAACCCCCCGCTGAACTACACAAACACAGGTGCAACTCAGAAACCTGCACCTGTGTCCGGCTGGAGGTAAACCTGGAAATTGAGGACACATTACTTCAGGAGTGGTGAGTTGATAGGCAGGTTTGAGCCTGAACCTCAGGTTCTCCGTGACCATCCCCAGAGACCCTTCCTCCTTCCGCCTCATTTGGCTCCAGGGTCAGGCAAGTTTCAAAGCCTTGGTGGCTGAGGATAACCTCTGCTGGCCCTTTCCAGTGCGGAGTGAGACCCAAACATCCGGGTTCCTTTTTATCAGTCCTGGTATGGAACTCTGTGGCTGCTCCAGAATCATGTGGGAGGTCAGAGAGGCCTGCGTGGGGCAGAGGGTTTTTTCTTTCTTCCCTATTTCTGTGCTTCTAATCTCCCGATTATACTCTGAGGGTAGGCATTGTCTCCAGACCGTGGGCCTTCACCTCTCTCTCCTCATCACATTAGGGACTTCCAGAGGGTAAAATGAGGACAGGAATGCAAGCCAGTGAGGCTGTTTTGCTACCACTTTGGAGTTATTGCACTTTGTGGCCAAGTCTTGTATTTGCTTCAGTTTCTTCATTTATGAAATGGGGCTAATCATATCCATCGTGAAGAGACATAAAGATAAGTGAGATTAAGAGACTGGAGGGATGTGGGCAGAACACAATACCAAGCACAGATCATGCGAAATTGCCACAACTAAGAGCCAGGGAAACCAGATCGCAGGCTCCGTGGGTGCAAAGACTTTTGTTAGTGTTGCTAAGTAGTTTCCCAAGTGCCCAGAACAGAGCCTGGAACATGGCAGGTGCTCATATAAAAGTTGAATAAATGAAGAGGCTGGGAAGTGATAGTGCTTCCTGTTTCCTGGGATGTATTGGCAGAGAGACGGATGCTATAGAACCGGTTGGGATTTTCAGCAGGTGAGACTTTGTGAACACACATGCCCTCTCATAAAAATGTGGCTCACTCCTGAAACCTCAGAACTTAAGGTTTATCCCAAAATTTTCCCCAGGTGGTGCTGGTAAGGGACTTTGTGACTGTCCTATAAGGGGCCAACCAGCCTCGAGAGTTAAACCTCTACAAGCCTCTCTGATGGTACAGGGGTTAAGTCTCAGAGCTATCAAGCAGTAGGCGTTTGATCCCTAGCCTGGCCAGAGAGCTGACCCACATGGCGCAGCAACCTCTTCTGTCCCACCCTCTGCTCCCCTCAGCAATGTGTTTCAGTCAGTTGGTCTGTTCTTCTCCCCACTGTCTCTGATGAGTCCTCTCCCCCCGCCCTTGCACCTCTGGCCTACACCCCAGCTCTTGTATGTATCTATGTATGTATGCATAAATAAATAAATAAATAAATAAATAAATCTTTAAAATAAAAGAAAAAAAAGAAGTTCCTCCTCTGACATGACAAACATGCCTTCTTTCAATAGATAACAGGTGCTGGCTGAGCCTGGCTGACCCTTCTCTCACTTTCTTTCCAGTTTGGTGCCCAGTTCTCCTTTTCAAGGGACAGAACATTCCACAAAGCCCGGCTTCCCTCATCTCATCACGGCATGGCACGGGAACAGGCCTGGCGGTGGGGTGCCTATGGAGATGGCGAAGCCAGGTTCACCATCTACTGGAATCTTGCACAACTCTGTGCCTGCTTCCTCATCTATAAAGTAGGGATGTGATACCCACACCTCACAGTGTCATGGCAAAATCAAATGAATTTGTGTATTGTTGAGTGGAAAGGATGTAAATGTGGCTTGGCAAATTGGGGACAAAAAGTTTGTCCTTGTCCCACTTGGCCTGACTGATCCTGGATTGTTCATTCCCATCCTCACTCAGACCCACTTACTATGACCAGGGCTTGTCTCGACCACTTTAAGTAGCTTGATCTTCTACCTCACTTTTTTATTTTCTCCTTTCCAGGGCACCCCAATTCTATTGACCTTTCACGCTGTCTTCAATCCTCCCAGCATTGCCCTCCACAAACCAGACATCAGGTTAGCTTCTCCATCTCCTGTTTTATTGTAAAAATGTTAAAATAAATTACACTTGACATCATTGCCAGTATATACATACAGTGCGTGCCACGCCAGGGCAGCCGGACACCCTGACAGAGGGGGCGAGACCTAAGATGAGCTCATTAAGAGTTCACAGGAAAATAGAAGGCGCCTCCTTGTCACTCCTTCTGGGCCATCAGACCCTTTGGTTATAGGATGAGTGAAGTAGATGCACCCCCATCACCTCTTTACATATGGGGGGTAGGTGGGGTTCTGGCCCATTTGGCCCCCACATACTAGGGAGGGGGCGAGGGGTCAAAGGTGATCTCTCACCTCCTACCCAGCATCTAATCACCTGCAACATGGCCCCTCCCCACTGAGCAAGGTCCAGCTGAGTTGGGGGGGTAGGGGGGGAGGTGATTCCTGGAGAGCCCAGTCCATGGACCCCGTTCTTTCACTTTCTCTCCCTCTGGCTCTGAAGCCAACAGATGCTAGATATATAAAACAGCAGTTTATTTTCAAAATAAAACAAAACAAAACACACAGGGCAGAGTGGGCCAGCCCTAGGGTATGCACCCCTCAAGCAGCCCTCGTCAGAAAAGTCTGTACAGTTTCACATTATGTTTTTGTCCCACCTCATCACAAACCCTTCCTCCTCGCCCTCCCAGGCTGTGTGTGTGTGTGTGTGTGTGCCACATATATTCTCTCATTCTCTCTCTCTCTCACACCACACACACATACACACACACAGTCTTTCTCCAAACAGCATCTTCTGGAGGAAGAAGCCTGCTTTACACATTGATGTTATTTGGCCATTCCCCTCTTGTGAGCCAAGGCACCATGGGAGGCCAGAAAAGGCTAGACACCGAGGTCTTGGTCCCAGAAGCAGCGGGGAAGGAGGCGCCTGGCAGGACAGGGAGGGCAAGGGCAGAAGCCTCCAGAGTCCAGCCCACTTCTGCAGCTCCCTGGATACCACCAGCTCTAGGAGTCTGAGCCCCCACAGCCATGACCTGCTATCCTTTCTCCTGCTTCCTGCTCCCATCCACACGGGGCCGAGGGTGTCTGAGGTGGGACACCGGGCTGCTTCTCCAGGCAGGGCTGGGTCACAGAAAAACAGGATCTAGGAGCCCAGTCCACACTCGGACAGCTTCTGATCCTATGTACCAGGAGTGTTTCAGCACCCGCCGGCCTGTTACCTCCTCATTCCCTTCCCCCAGGGGCTCTCGCCCTTACTGAGGTCTGCAGTAGGGGCTGGATAGATAGGCAGGGAGAGGGATGGGGCAGGCTGCTACTGCCGGGGGCCGAGTGCCAGGCCTCCCACACCACAGTGGTGTCTCCTGCCAATGCAAGACCAGGCCTCACACACTTTCCTCTCCCAAAACACTTAGCTCACTGCCAGAACTCCTTAGTGCTGCTGACCAAACGGCCAAGGCCACTGGCCTAGGCAACCGTGTGACATTCTCAACCGGATGATGCAGGGCTCCTGGAGGATGGGTCCCGCCAGCCCATATCTCTGAACCATCAGATATGCCAACCGTACTCAGGACAGACGCCTTCACTGCCCGTTCCACTCGAGAACAGAGGCCCTGTCCTGGGTGTGCAGTGTTTGACCGGTAGTATCTAGTTGAAGGGATGGAAGGTGAGGCAGGCTCCTGGCCCCCCACTCCCAGGTCCAGGACCACCCCTCCCCTCCAAGGGCCAGGGGTCCCCTGCCATGGTAGGGCACCCCAGGATGAGGGGAACAGCAGCCATCAGAGGTGGGGCAGGGAGCCGGCCCTGTCTCATGTGCCTTGGGGGCAGTCTGTCTTATTGTACTCGTTCATAAGCTGCTCGTAAGGCAGAGAGAGCTCAGATTCAGTGCTGGTGAAGGTGGACTCGTCGGATGAGGGGAACTCGCCCGTGTTCCGGGGGGGCTCGGTCTCAGTCTCCTCCTGGGGCCTCTCCTCCCCGGCCAGGTTGTCCTCCAGTGAGGACTTGGAGGTCTCCTCGTCCAAGAAGCCAGTCTCCTCATTCACAAAGGTGGTGGCGGTGTCCTGGGAGATGAGTGGGTGGTAGTCCTGGGTGTCCCAAGGCTCGCCCTCCTCGCTGATGCGGTCCAGCTGGTTAGTGCACACCTCAGGACTGGGGGATCCATCCTCGGGGGGCTGTGCGCTGGCCTCCTCACTGAGGGGCCGCGACACGTGGCCCTTGCTCCTTAGTGTCTGAGACACCTCTTCCAAGCTGGGCACCCGGCTCTTGGAGTACATCACCAGCGGGGCCAGGGCGGGGGGAATGGCCGTCAGCCCGCCCCCTTGAGGTCCCAACCCCAGTCCTGAGACCCTCTCCCCACTCCCACTAGTCTTCATCGCCTTCTTCCCAATCTGCTTGATGAGGTCATTGTAAGTCTCCTCTTTTTTGGACAGAAAGCTTAGGATGTTGACATCCTTGGAAGCCGCGGTCCTTGGCATCTGCAGGGCCTTCCTGGAGTGGGGGGAGCTCTCGAAAGACTCCTTACGCCTCTTCCGCCGCTTCTTGATGGCCTTGTGGACCTCCACAAACATGCTCACCTTCCAGTTGACAAAGAGGGACAGCCAAGCCAGCCCCAGGTAGATCCAAAGCTCCACAAAGTAGCGGTACAGGGCATGGTAGTTGGCACTGGGGTTCACACCTGAGGACAGGACAGGAAACCCAGGGGATCAGGAAAGGTCAGCAGGGACTCGCAAATGCCCAAAGCCAAAGCGGTGTTGTCTGAGAGTGGGCATGGCGCCTGGTCACAGGAGGGAACGCCGCTTCCGGAACCTGGACTGCCACCCACCCATAAGCACCTGGGTCCAGTCACTCATGTCCCTACCCCAGGGCCCAACCAGACTCTGAGCCTCAGTTTTCTCAAATGTCAGCTTAGGCGAGCATTCTCCTAAGGTGAGGAAGTTCAAGGGAGGGAAGCTGGAATCCGATCTGACTCATAGGTCAAGTACTAGTTCAATGTTTGCTTTTCAACTATTCTTTACAGTACACCGTGGCCCCTTGCACACTTTTTGGTGTGTATCTTATACTTAACAACGGGATCTGGGGATCCTCGTTGCTTTTAATGTGAATGAGGTCGTGGCTGCCTGAGATGCTCGTGGGCTGTGATCCTGCCAAGAAGAATTTTGAGCTGCCTCTTTTCTCCAGGGAGCTTGCCTACCTCTGACCTTCTTTCTGGCTCCCTCAGTTTAGCTCTTTGGGTGGTCTCAGCGCCTCTGTCTACTCCAGGCCCCCTTCCTTGAGACCATAATCCTGCTCCCTCCCCAGCCACCCCACAGCGCTGAGTGCTCTTCCACTCCCCTCTTAGCGGAGATTTCTTTACCCTTCAGGACAACTATATTCTCTATATCCAGTCCACTCCCTGACCTGGGAGCAACTCAGAAAAGAGACTGAAGGGGCCTTCAGAGAGGGGCTCTTTCCAGGTAAAGACTATAACTCCCCCATCAGATCAGTGTTCTCAGTAGGCAGGGGCTGAGGTCACCCCCCCCACCCCCCTTCTTCTGACAGGAGGTGCTGTCAATCTTCTCCAGGCTCATGGTCAAAAGCAGGGCAGGAGACAATGACACCCTGGCCTCAGCTTTCATTTGACTTTCCACCCCCTTGTCAGGTAGGGGCTATTAGTTTTTTGTTTTCCAAAACCAATTTTACAGATGAGGACACTGAGGTAGTGGGTCAACGTCGAGGGGAGCTCAGAAGTACGATGACATGCATTACTGTATAAAGGCTTCTCCTCAGCCTGCCAGAGCCTCCCAGCAGTGGCAGGCTGTGCCCCCTGCTCTAATTTATCTCCTAACACAGCAGGCCCACAGCTGCCAGGGTCAGTGGAGCGTCCAGGCCTCTCCTGTTGCCACAACCCACTCAGCTACCTCCTCCCAGCATTTGGGATATCCACCAATAATGAGGCTGGTAGTGACTTCACTCCTTCCCTGGGGAAAGGGCAGGACCAGCGGTCCCTGCAGCAGAGACGGAGGGCAGCCGGCAAACACCAGGTTCAAGGCAGCCAAATGGGGTGTCAAGAAGATTAAGAACCAAGATATGCAGGCCACAGCCCCAAGTACATGAGTGGCTGAGGATGGACAAAGGGGCCAAAGAAAGTTAATGCCAGGCTGGATTAAGGAAATGAGTGGAAGGAGTGTCCAGCACGTGGGGGAAGGGCAGCGTGAGAGAAGGCCTCCCTTGTCTTTTGGCTGACCATGTAAAGAGCAGTTCTGGGCCTCTGAGCCAAGCCTCCAGGGCAGTGCCCTCGGGCCTTGTAATGAGGAAGCAGGCAGCCATGGCTGGGCTCCTGGCAACAGGTGCAAACCCTGCAGGTGGAAGGCCCCACCCCGGCTGCCACCGAATATAAGCTCAGGACAGAGGGGAGAGGGGGCAGGGGACACCAATACTAAAGACAGGAAAGGGGGCAAAGGAGCACACCCCAAGAAAGTGAAACATAAAACCTCCCGCAATTTTCTCGGACTTTCATTTGCTCTTGTAACTGGCAGGGGGCAGTAGAGAGGCAGTGTCCTGGGCATGGATCCTACTGGGCCCCCCAAAGGCCAACTGCAGTGAGAATGGAGGGAAAGCAGAGAAAGAGAAGATGGGGCTGCAGAGACCAGAGGAGGGGGCAGGACTCACCAGCCACAAAGTCACCAAAGCCAATGGTAGAGATGGTGATGAAGGAGTAGTAGAGGCCCTCGATGTAGTCCCACTTCTCAGTCACCATGAACACGAAGGGTGGGATCACCAGGTGGACCAGGACGCCCCACAAGATGAAGATGGCGGTGCACGTGATCTGTGCCTTCCGCTGAAAGAGTGATGGGGACATCAAATCAGACATCGGTGGAGACTGGGGAAACTCTGAGGGGGACCTAGGGAGGTAGCCAGGGGACAGGCCAGCTGGGCAGCATACCAGCCAGGAGGGCGGTCACTGCCCTCCTGCCACCTGTCCTCATACCTCTTGGATCCTCCCCATCACATGCCGAGGTCCCCCACCTCTGTTCAATTTCTGGGGTTGTGGACATACCAGGCTCACACCTCTTCTGGTGAGGAATTGGCCTAGCCTCTTGGCTCGTCCCCCAAAGAACTTTCCCAGGGCACTGATCCACGTTAGGCAGAGAGGTACCCCAAAGAGACCGTAGAAGATGCAGAAGAGGCGCCCAGCCGGGGTCTTAGGGGCCACATTGCCGTAACCTAAAGGGTAAGAGAGGGAAATCAAGAACAGAGCCACAACTGGTTAATGGACCCAGATTCCGAGTGGTCCCCCCCTTAAACCCACACCCACGCACGACCCACACCAAGCTTGAGGAGACCCATTCTCTCAGTCAAGCAGTAACTCATCTAATATAAATTCTTAGGAAATAGAATTTCCTTGATCACACTATAATCAGGACCATTTACATACAGTTGTGATGGAAGTGGGTTTTTCCTCCATCAGACTAAGAGCTCCCTGAAGACACTGTGTCTCCACCATAAACAAGTCTTCCTCTAGCTCATCCTTAAGAGTCATTCTTAATTCCTTCTCTTCTTATGTAAGCACCCACTGCTCATGATGTTTTAGCAACTTTAACTTGTCCACACTCTGCAATGATGTGGGTAGTCTAGGTATATAACAGGCCTGCTGCTTCTCTCTCTGATCTTTTGGGGGTCTCCTCTAGGAACTCAGCTACCACACTGCAAGATACCCAAGCATCTGTTTCATCCATGGTTGAGTCAACAGTCAGCATCATGGATCAAACATGATGGAAGAAATTATCTTGGGACTCCGGCTGTAGCTACCAAGAGGACTGATGCACTAGAAACCTCAAGAAGAACCAACCAGCTGAACCCAGTTAACCCACAGAATGAGGTTGACTGAGGTTGACAGTGACTTCTGGAGTGGTTGGTGCAGCCATGGATAATCAGAGTAGACAGACAGCTTGATGAGCAACCGAAGCTAGGTTTGTGCCGTCAACCTTTTCAACCTCCTGTACACTCTGGCTATGTCTGGGATGTCTTTTTGTTCAAAGAGCCCATGTCTGGATTCCCAAAGACAGTCTCCCCGGCATGGCCAGTCACCAAGGTCTTACTAAATTCCCAGGAAATTGCCAAAAGAACAGACTCCGGGGTCCTCCCTGATGGCACAATCAATGGGTCAAAGAGCAGCACTCTGAAGCTCTCCAAAGCCACTGCAGCACGAGTTCCATCTCTGGCCAGGGGGGTGACCCGCCTGGCATGGCAGACCTCTCCTGGCCCTCCTGCTGCTCCCCTCAGCAGTGTATTTCTGTCAATCGGTTCTGCTCCCTACTCAGTCTCTGGTGAAATCTCTCACCCCACCCCTGCACCTCTGGCCTGTACCCCAGTTCTTGTGTGCATAAATAAATAAATCTTTTTTAAAAAATAAGAAGAAAGAAAGAAAGAAAGAAAGAACAGAGTCCAAATAACTTGATTTTGCCCCAACAAGACCACATGACCACAGCTGGACTCCTCTCAGGTTCCGTATAGATAAGGCAGGGCAGTGGGTTTCTGGGAGGTCCCAGAAGACTTACCAATGGTGGTGATGACTGTGGCTGCAAAAATCATTGCATTGGGCCAGTTCCAGTTGTTGAAGGTCTGGTTCCCTGTGATGGCCACACCCTGCCCTGCAGCATCAGAAACCACCTAAAAAGAGAGACAATGACATTCAGGTCAGACTTACAGATGCTTTGTAAGTGATGGAACACTGTTGAATTCCTTATAGATTCTCATTTAATCATCACAATAGCAAGGTGGCACTTAGCTACATTTTATAGATAATGAAACATTCTGCAATCAGAGAGGTTAAGTGATGTCATGGTCACATATCTGGTAAAAATACAAACCCAGGCAATCTGGCTTCAAAGTTCATCCTCTTACTGAGTCACAGTGCTGTTTAAACTTACTAGCACGTAACAGAAACCACCTGGAAAGCTTCTTAAACACAGACTGTCAGGCCCCACTCCAAGAGCTTCTGATTCAGTAGATCTCGGGGAAAAGTCTGAGAATTTGCATTTCTATCAAGTTTCCAGGTAACCCTGAGGCCCAGGGAGCATATACTCTGAGAGCCACCACACTAGACTCATCCGCCTCTTACAGGCAGATGTGATGCAGACACATCGGAGGACCACTAAGTGACATCAAGCCCTCCATAGAAGTGCTCCACTGTTCAGGGGGGAACCCCCCCCATACATCCTTCACACCCCACTGTCAGGCTGCCAGCTGAGGCCAGCTCTGAGTGACCCCTACATCTGTCTACCAGTGGCACAACTATCAGCTGGCCTCCTCCCAAGCCCAGAGACTCTAGCACCTTGCAGTATAGATTTCTCATTCTTTCTCTCTGAAACCCTTTCTCCCTACTGAGCTGAATAATTTCAAGGTCTAGGTCAGGAGAGATCATCAGATCATTAAAAGGTGGTGTGTGCGTGCCCTCCGTGTTGGTGCAGCGGGTTAAAGCACAGCACTAAGAAGCTTAAGCCACTTCCGCATGAGTTCAATTCCCGCCTGCCCCGGAGGTGACCACATGGCGTGGCAGACCTCTCCTGATCCACCAGCTGCTCCCCTCAGCAGTGTACTTCGTCGATCTGCCTGTTCTGCTCCCCGCTCTGCCTCTGGTGAATTCTCTCACCCTCCACGCTCTGGCCTGTACCTCAGTTCTGTATGAATAAAAAATAAATCTTTAAAAAAAAAAAAAAAAAAAAGGTGGTGTGTGCATTATCAGGGTGACTCAAAATCACGTCATCAATCCCCACAGAGCTTCAAAGCAGGGGAGAGGTCGTGGGGGAATTGTGGGGCCAAAGAGAGACCTTATCTGCCCAGGAACTCAGAGCTGCCAGAACCTGTTTCCACCTGACCAGACCTTGCCTCTAACCCCAGAAGATGGTTCATGGATCTGTATGAAGTATGGGGTTCCAGTCTTACCCCTAAGGGCCACCCACTCTTGAGGCCAGGAACCAAAGCCCCTACGAAGCCAAGCCCAAAATCACATGAGAATGCGGGCATGGCGGGTGGAAGTAGCAGGGAGACAGAAAGGCCCGGAGATAACGCACCCGCAGCATGCCTGGAATCTGCAGGGAAGGGAAGGGTGGGTTGTGCCGAAGGAATGTGCAGTTTGCAGGAGCAGCAGCAAGCCCGTGGAAACGGATCTGCAGGCTCTATAAAGAATTTTCCATGATGACATGCTCATCTGACAGGCCATCAGACCGCACATTTCCAGAGCATCTCAGCAGTTGGTGGCCCTGCAGAGACAGCTGCCCTCAGCCCTGCCTTCAGAGGGCCCGTGGTCAGGCTGGCCAGGTCAATGTCATGTGGAATCACGAGGACATTTAGAAATCATCAGACCAACAGGAGAGCTAAACACTAAACAAAAGCCCATGGTGAAGGTCCATCCGGAAGGTTTACTAAAAAATCTGTTTGAAACAGGAGAACAAGGAAAACAGCGGGGCCTGTTGTGTTGATGTTAAACAGATGGCAGACAAAGCAGACCCACTCCGCTCTCTCTGCTCTCGGCTTTTGCTCTCTCGGATAAAGGATTTGAGTGAGGGGAAAGTGCAGTGGTCAGGAAGGCAGCCGAAGACAGGAAGAGAGCACTGGAGAAACTTTCAGCGGGGACCGTGCCACTGACCAGAGAAAGGTGTCATGGCGTGTCACCCCTGACCACCTCTGGAGCATCTCAGAGACAAGCAAGCTGTCAGGACAAGCTGTCCCCATCCTCGGGCAGACAAAGAGCAGATTCAAGGAACACAGAAAGCAAACCTGGACACTTCCAGTTGTCTGAAAGGGGAGCGCAGAATGTTTGGCACACGCAGGAGGAAGTGGGGGACACTAGAAGCTAGCACAGGTTCACCAGGAACAGGTCATGCTCAGCTAAGTGCATCTCCCTCTCCAAAACCTTGAAGTTGGGTGGAATGCAGTAAATCTAGATTTCAACAAGGCAGCTACACAGATGGGCTTAAAGATACTCATGCGGACAAGACAGAGAAATGTGGGGTGGAGCTGGGATTAATTTGGGTCCACTTAAAGGCAGCTAAACAATCCCCCAAAATATTGGTCACTTTCAAGCAGGTCTGAGGTCTCCCCATTATCATGCCAAAGGCCTTGCTTCTTCCATATTTTAATCACTGAATGGCTGACCAGTCCAATCTGCAAAGGATGCAAACTTGGGAACAAGGATGGGGAGGAAAGAGAGCTAGCTGCAGTGGCAAGTTGGGGCTCAAAATCAGCTGGCTCAGGAAAAGTGGACCCAGAGTAAGAAGATACGACTGTCTTAAAATGTCCGTGCCTGATATTTGGGGAAGGATGGAAGGGAAAGTCCTTGTTTCAGCTGTCTATGAACCAATAAACACTGGTGAGGCTGCCAAAGAAAAGTACATGCAATCTCAGGCCATGTCAACACCTCATCTATTCAGGGCCGGGAAGTGATGAGTCCATTGTTCTCTGAGGGTCAGGCCACGTGTGAGGGAAGCACCCTATTCCATTCTGGGTCTTGAACTTCACGTGATATGTTTGTTAATCAAAAGGTCAAGGTCCAAGAAGGGACGGGGTGGTTTTCTTGCAGAAGCAGCCACCCGAGAATGGGTACCCCTTGGCAGCAATTGATTTCATAATCCTTAATGAAAAGTATTTGGACGAAGGTCTGATCCCTGCCCTGAAGATGCAACTGCAAGATCTCAAGTGGGGGGTGGTAGCACCTTCTGGAAGTGTTTGGAAAGGCTACCTGAACGGTGCCATGCACCGTTCCAGGAACACAGCAGACAGAGGACAAATCCCTGTCGTCCCACTGCTCTCGTGGGTGATGAGGGAGCTGCTGGCATTAACAGGCAGGGGCCCTGGCAGGCTGGATGCCCTGCAAGTCCCAGGACAGCCTCCCCCATTCTGCCAGCACTGCTCCCGTAAGAAACACTGACTCACCGAAGGCCATCTGTGATTTGGGGATCCTTTAGGAAGTGCTAAAAAAAACTGGCCAAGCAGGGTAACTGAAGAGGGCATTAAAGGGGGCTTTTGGTGTGCCTGTCACCACACCAAAGACGTGCCTTCCCGGCAACAGCTGGCAGCCTCAGCTCCTCATGCTTCCCTGCAACCCCCATGTTCTCTTCATGGTCACCCAGAAAACGGCAGGTAAAGGGGGCATTCTGATGTGCCTTCCCCCGTGGGGCTGGAAGTACCACTAACTTACAACAATCCCAGTGGCAACAGTTATGGCCGCGGCCCAAGTCAGGAGATGGAGGCTGAGAGGGTTGCTGAGTGGCAGACTGCGCTATTCCTGGACCCCACTTGATATTCCTGTAAGTCCCCACTGCTATTACTTCGCCCCCCTGATTGCCTCTGGTGCCCCCCAGCGCTCCTGCCCACTGCCTCTTCTTGGACCAGGGGTCCCAAGTAATGGGCCTAGGGATCAGCTTGGCTCCAACCGAATGCTGGGTGGGGGGAGAGCTCTAGGATTGGAGTGTTGCCATGTGTCAGACACCGCTCGCTGGGATGTACATACTAGCTATTAGGCTCTTCCTGTGAATTTTCCAAGCACCGCTGGACAAGCTAGGCTTGGGGAACAGAGGTTCAGATGTGAACTTGGGGTACTTGCTCCCTGTTCCCACCATGGGTAGCTGTAGCTCTGGTGAGGAGACCTCACTGGTCATGGCCAGGGTCATGAGGGCCAAGGCAGAAAACTCCCAGAGCAGAGGTGCTGACCCAGGACTGAGGTGACCCCTGCCGGGGGTGTAGGGGAGCCAGGCTAACACCCGACTGTCCTCGGGGTTAGGGAAACAGCTTCGCTGGAGGAGGTGGCCCCTGTTCACTCGCAGGATTCTTTAACTTGGCTCCCAAAGTCACACAAGACAATATTTTCATTTTCTACATCGCCATGGAGAGCGCTGGCGGGATTCTTCACGCAGCCTAGGCAGAGCTGCTTTGAGGACAGAACACAGCGCTCACCTCTGTCACCTCGTACTAAAGCTGCCGTGATTTATGGAGTTTGCCGAGCACCAAGTGTTGTGCTCAGCACTCCGCATGCTTTTCACTCACTTAATGAGGACAGAACCCTGCTGGGAAGATACCATAATTTTTTCCATTTTGCAAAAGAGGATTTAAGGCGTAGCGAGGTTATGCTAAGTCGCAGAGGGTCAGAATGCTTGGAGCAATGAAGCCAGGAGAAGCCTGGCCTGTCTAGGTCCTAATCGCTATTATCCCACCCCCTTCCCCACAAAGGCCACAGGAAGGAGGCCATGCATACTTCCACCCCTTCATACCAGCTGAAAAAACAGTCCCCTAAACCAGTCCATCCACTCCAACCCCCAGGTCAGCGCTGCTACCCAGTTCTGCCGCTAGAAGTTTCATGCCCTTGCCTTGGCTTCAGGCAATCAGCTGCCCTGAACCAACCTTCCTGGGTAGCACTGTTCACAAAATCTGGGGGTGAGGGGGGCTGGCGGGGGGAGTCCCAGACAGCTCCTCACCCTCAACTTCTGGGTGTCCCATGCACCGCAGCTGCCCAGGCCTGCCTTCCTGGACATTCAACCTGAAGAGAGGTTGAATCTTGTCTGGAGAGGACACAGCCATGAAGTCCACCTTCAGCAAGGGTGAGCGGCCTCTCCCCACATGGGGAGGAATGAGGGAAACTGAGGTGGGCTGATGGTCTGTGCGGGGGTGGCAGC